CAAGCTTACCTTTTAAAAGATCAACGATAATTCTTCTGTCGCCACCTTATTTAAAGACAATTTGATGTACGTAGGTCCTTACTTTCTGTACAAACAATTATTTTTTATTTCATAAATGACTTTCTCTGGATTTTGAAATTGATTTCAATTATTCCCAAATTTATTTCCACTTTATAAAAATTGTTATCGTACGAAAAATTCGTCGCAAAAAAAAAAAAAAAAAAAAAAAAATCACGTAAAAATATTGCCAAAAACAATCTTAGTAATGAAAACTTGGGAATCCAAAATTTCAGAATTGCAGGTCCAGAGCTGGCCTGGATTTTTTTATTTAATTTGCTTACGGAGTCGACCTGATTCCAAAATGGTATGATATGTTGGGCTACGACCTCTAGGAGGAAAGTTGAAAAGGTGTGACACAGTGACACACTGACATTCGCATTTATTATATAGATGTAGGAGAACACACACACATTTATAGTGAATGAAAAAATGTGTGTCATATATTAAGAACTAGCTTAAAAGCCGCCCTATCGGCTATTGTTTTTTAAACAGTGTAAATCTACATCTATTGGCCTGTGTGTATTCGCTTTGTTATAACCCGCAAATGAAAAGGCCGGTAGACGTAGGAGTACACTCTTAGAAGAACAGGAATATCGATTGAAACATGTGCATCTGGTAAATATAACGTTTAAAGTATTAATATATATACGTATTAATATATGCAGTGTGCGATGGATAAATTGTCGTCTAAATTACGCAAAATTGAAAATAACACTAACAACTCATTTTAAGACATATTTACCAAAATTACACAAAAATATCTTGAAATATTAGGTTGGTGCAAAAATAATGATGTAATAATGTCGTTTTTTGACGTTAAAAAATACGTCAAAAACGACATTATTACGTCATTATTTTTGCACCAACCTAATACTAAAGAGTAAATTTATTCAATAAAATCACCATTGGCTTCAACCACGGCCTCTAGACGACTTCGAAATCTCCTGCAACTCTTCTGGACAGTCTCCTTATTTAAGTAGTTGAATGCAGCCATAATCGTTGCCTTTAGTTCATCTTTGGTGTTACAAGGAGTTTTGTTGGTCTCTCGCTCACCTACGACCCACACATAATAATCAATGGGGATTGCAGTCTGGTGAGTTAGGTGGCCAGGTGATAAAGGGTGATATGGTCGCAGAAATAGTCTGACTGATATGACTGGGTCCTCCTGCTTGTGTGGCATGGTGAAGAATCCTGTTGACAGACATAGGGTTTTCCAGCAGCCACCCTCTTGACCCAGAGCAGCACTACCTCCTCAAGACACTTGATGTAGGTCTCCGTCCGTGTTGAGTTTGAGGCCTTGTGGCAAGATGAAAGGAGTAATCACCATTAGACTCATCGCTTTCCGAATCTTCTGCACTATCCTCAGATTGACACCCAAACACTCTGAAATGTTCGTATTGGAGCTTCCGGCGCGAATGTCAAGCAGTACAATATGCCGTTCCCAAATTTCTGGCGGAGTAAATTGCATCATGGTGCTCTTTTTTTCACAGTTGGTAACCAACTGACCATACTATACTGTGCAATCGAAAAAAAAAAAAAGACCAAATAACGCGCATGCGCTAAAATAAAAATATAAAATGGCGACAATTGAAGTCAATACTCAGCGGCAACAGTCTGTTTCATGCTTAAACGCAGTCTTCGGGCGATGTCCTGAAGATTTTGTTCAAGCATGAAGCAGACTATCGCTGTTGGGTGTTGACTTCAATGTCCACTAGGACCAATCATCTCCATTCTCTTCGTACCACATTAGTAAGAAAGAAGTTCCATTTGGACAGCTTCTTTCTAAAAACTGCTACTTTCTGGAGTAGACTCCCGGAAGGATACTTCCTCGATAACTCCAATCTTAACCTCTTCAAGTCTCGGGTTAACCGTTACCTTTCTTAAATATTCTCACAAACTGCACTTCATACCACCTCCCCGTCCTTCTCCCACGCTTATTCAAAAACCTCATTCAGTAACCCCCTACTTTGAGTGGCTCTTGGGCGTTGCATTGAGTTAACTTTGGTAAAAGGAATAACATTACTAATGTAATAAAAAACTATAGAAATCAGAGGAAATAAATATTAGTAATAATTCTATTCTATAATATAAAAAAAGCGACTTTATATTAGGTACTTCCAGTAATTCACTGAAAAAAGAGGATAGCATGATGAAAAGGGGCCCTAAACTTGATAAAAATAAGTTTTATCGTCAAAATATTTATGCTTTTATTAAGAGGAAAGGCCGAAGTATTTTTTGATTATTTTATTAAATTTTTTAAACCTTTCTAGCACGTTCGAAATTTTAGTTGAAAATCTTGTTTTTCTTGCATCAGCGAGAGAAGGAAAGGTTAATATTAGGACATTTAGCGCCTTTTTTTCCGACAAAAAACACATTGATTTGGGAATTCTTGCAAAAATCAAATAATTGTCGGAACATTTTAAAAAGAATTTTGAATTTTTTTTATATGTATAAACGTGCCGATTTTCTATTATACGATCGACCATACACGAATAATAAGAAAATAAGAGCGATAACTATAGTAATTTTAAAGCCGGAAATACTTAAAATCCAATAAAACATTAGATTACAGAGAATGTTTTTTTAAATTTTTAAGATTACTGAGTACTTAAAAATTATATATGAAATGCGGTCATGTTAATTCAATTACTTTTTTTAACGCCTAAAGCTACCACCAGAATAACATTAGATAAATATCAACTGTCATCAACCCGCGAATGCCTTAAATAAACAACTACTGTCTGGTGAAAAACATTTTTTTTTTATATTTTAAACTTAAAGTAAATAATATTTGTTTCAAATAAGATTAACTATACTTAAAAATCAGCTAATATTCCTTAAAGTTTCAGAAAAGTATATTTTATTTTTGGAAGATTTTTAATAAAGAGAATAGCATTGTGATGAAAGGCGGCTAAAAAGGGCGATAATCAAGTATTTTAGCAAAAGAAATCAAAACATTCTCTTCAGACAATTTAAATTAGTTTTAAATTAGTTTTTGAAATACGGCAAAGTATTTTGCCTATTGAAAATATTAAATTTAATCTATTTACTTGAAATTAAAACTGAAATAAAAGCTTCAAGAAAGATTTTTTTCTTTTTAAAATTTCATTTAAATTTTAGGTATCGCTTTCTTTTTGAAGGTGTCTACTTTATATATTTATTGGTTACGCTCCTAACCTTCCATATTTAAGAGAAACTGTTTATGTTAACACGGACTTAGTCCACTCGAAGTTATCATAGTTTGAAATGGTTAGCCAGCGTGTCTCGCTTGGGCGATTACAAGTGAGCTCGATCCTTTCAGCCACATATAAGTTACGCTTAGAAAAATCATTATAACAATAAGGTAGGTAATATATTGTTTTTTTTTTGTTGCTTTTTTTACTTCTGTTGTTTTGTATTAGCTTTCTTGGTATAATTTTAATTTTTAATGAGTGTCTCTTGGGCCTTGAATTGGGTGAACACTAATATAAAAATCCCCAAATCAATACTGGAGGAAACAGTATTAATTTAAGCTTTTATCTTCCTTTTTGATTTATAAAACGTATTTAATTGGTTGCTTTATTTATTTGTTTTTGAACAACGTTCTTCGAAAATATAGTGCACCCCAGGAGGATCGAACTCGCTATTCAGTCATAATTGATCTTGCGAGACAAGCTTGCTAACCATTACACCACGTTGAGGTACCCGTCTTCTATGTGCCGTAACCCTTCAGGAATTGGGTGATAATGGCTCTCCAGGAGTTCCTATCCCTTGTAGCTCTTAGCAATGTTTTGTCTTTTAATAATCCCGCCTATTCCATGTTCTGCCATTCATTTATATAAGCTTAGAATCATTCTGAATATTAAATTTTCAGTTCCTTCAACTTCAACGCTAATGGCTCCCAAAAAACCAATCTCGTGTTTCTTCATACAATTCTTGTTTCGACTCGCGAAAAACCACAAGGGATTTTGAACTTATTGTGACACCCTGTTATCTGAGTCCATTTAATCCCTTGGGAGCGGTTGACAAGATATCTCGCGAGAAATTTATTTGTTCTTGGATCTTTTTACTCTGGTATTGAATCGAAGATATTGTAAGAAAGTGGATGGGGATTAAGGTTTAGGGTTAGTGGACGGGGATTAAGGGTTAGGGTTAGTGGATGGGGATTAAAGCAATGATTGATTGGCTTTTGCGGCTTATTACTTCTTTACAGGTTATTTAAAACCAGAAAATATTTTTAGATTGTAAGAATTTTGGAAGGATATTAACAATTTAACCCATAGCTGGGAGGTGGATTCATACCGTGTGGTTAGTAGAATGTTTTTGGATGTCGGGGGCACCGAATGATGTGGGGTCACTCACATCATAGTAGCAGAAATAGACTCGTGTTCATGGGAAATAAAAAGATACAGGAAATAAAACATACACAGAGATAACAGTAAAGGTAATGTAAATAGTGAACAGTAAAGGTACGTTAAATTGCACATTAATATCATACAATTTATTTATTTTTATGTGTACCGGCGTGTGTATTTTGGTTTGAAATGCTTCATGTTGCATGCAATGAAAAAAAAAAGCACTTTCTTCGTATTACTACACGCCATGTCACACAGAGAGAAGTTGGACGCGTGTTGACTGTCCCAAGGAAGTTGGCGAAGAGGTTGAATTCAAAGTCTTTTCGGCGCGATGTCCGTATTTCCGGTAGGAACAGTTTTTGTTGCATGCTGGGAGAATTTTTATTATCTTTATTTAATTTATTTTAAACACGGTTTAAATATTGTTATTTTATTTTATTTTATTTATAATAATTATTATCATTTTATTTTTATTTATTTATAATAATAATGTTCCTACATCTTTCACAAGCTTAAGTGAATATAACGAACCCATCGAGAATTGGAACTCTGCTCTCCAATTTCTAATTCTAAATCATTAGCCATTACACCACCCGCACATCGAAGCTTACAGCACCTGGTATTCCCAAGCGGTCACCAATCTAGGTTGTGACCAGGTTTGACATTGCATAACTTCGGTGATCGCACGAGAACCGGTATTTCAACGGGATACGGTCGTAAGCCCATGAAAGCAATAAAAACGATATTGTTCCTAAGCAGCAAACAAGATATTTCCGTTTCCTGCAGGTAGGGCACCGCAAAACAAATTTGTATCTGTGTGTGTGTAGTGTGTATGTGTGTGTCTGTGTGTAGTGTGTATGTGTGTGTCTGTGTGTAGTGTGTATGTGCGTGTGTGTGGGGGGGGGCGGTAGCTGAATCAGATGTTAAATGTTACGGGGTGCTAAGTCAGATGCTAAATTTTAAAGATTCTTGATTCTGTATTCTTATCTGATACTCTCATAAATTATTTTTTTAAATATATTATTTTACGGTAAACCTATAGACTTTTTCTTGCATATAAGATTTATATAAAAGTTTTAGCAGCTAATGTTTTGAAAAACAAAAACACACACAAAACAATACAGTAAATGAAGTTTTCTGATTTATTTTGAAAATTAATGACAGTAATTGTTTTAGACAAATGATACAATTCCGTTGTCAGAGATTGGGTCCATTTTATCTTCTCTTTAGTTTTCAGTTCTAACAAAAAAATGGAATGACTCGAGCCCCTTCAGACCCCACTCATTCATAGTGCCGGGGATATACTGAATATAGCAATCAACACTGCATAGTGACTGTCAGTTTCATGCCTCAAACGATCTTCACACCAAGTGCCACTAGTCTTTTGGTAATATCACTCCCTCTCTCCTCCACCACTCGCCACTTGCGACCGAAACCACCGTAGCAAATTTCTAGTCAGATGAGGCTGTGCTCCTATTACCCTATTATGGTTAACATCTATCTATCTATCTATCTATCTATCTATCTATCTATCTATCTATCTATCTATCTATGGGAGTCTGATCACTATCTATCTATCTATCTATCTATCTATCTATCTATCTATCTATCTATCTATCTATCTATCAGTGTCTGATCACTATCTATCTATCTATCTATCTATCTATCTATCTATCTATCTATGAGTGTCTGATCACTATCTATCTATCTATCTATCTATCTATCTATCTATCTATCTATCTATCTATCTATCTGAGTCTGATCACTATCTATCTATCTATCTATCTATCTATCTATCTATCTATCTATCTATCTATCTATCTATCTATCTGAGTCTGATCACTATCTATCTATCTATCTATCTATCTATCTATCTATCTATCTATCTATCTATCTATCTATCTATCTATCTGAGTCTGTTCACTATCTATCTATCTATCTATCTATCTATCTATCTATCTATCTATCTATCTATCTATCTATCTATCTGAGGCTGATCACTATCTATCTATCTATCTATCTATCTATCTATCTATCTATCTATCTATCTGAGTCTGATCACTATCTATCTATCTATCTATCTATCTATCTATCTATCTATCTATCTATCTATCTATCTATCTGAGTCTGATCACTATCTATCTATCTATCTATCTATCTATCTATTATTACTATAAAAGTTTTCTGAGATGAGAAGCATATTTTGTTTAATGATTTTCGACTGCTCAGGTCGGTAGATGTTAATTTGACTGTTAAAGGAAACATTAATCGCTACTCAAATACGTGTAGCTACAAAAATATGACGTTTATATATATATATATATATATATATATATATATATATATATATATATATATATATATATACCACGAGTTGACCAAAGCTTTGTGAGTGAAATTGGGTAGATGGAACTCTTGAGGGCCGTTGAGAGCTGTGCTAGCCAAAAAAAAAAAAAAAAGCCACAAGTCAGCGTGGCAGAGGGCTTGAGCATTCTGGGTTTGTTCAAATTGTTGATTACGCTAGATAACATGCTCTTTCCCAGATACTGTAACTAAGGTCTGCTCAGCATAGTTGCAGTATGAACCACAGGTGGGCTCTGAGAGTATTGAGCAAGCAAAATGTGCCTGAGCGAGCGTCTGCACTTTGGATTGCTCTAGTAGACGGGCATCTTCGAATGTTAGTGACCAGCTATATATATATATATATATATATATATATATATATATATATATATATATATATATATATTTATATATATATATATATATATATATATATATATACCCTCCAATTCGCCCCACCTATCAAACCTAATATTCTCAAATAAATTATTACATGCACAAACAAAGCCCCCTGTCATCCCCACGATGGTACCATATATAATCAAACAAACGGAGTCCGTATGGGTAGCCATACTATATGACTCATGTTAAAAACAAACATTTTCAAAAACCACGAAAAACCTAAAATTTATGTCCGGTAAGTAGGCGGTATTTTCATTATAGCCAACAGCAAAAACGAAACAAAAGACAATAAAACTACGTCTGAACCCATACCACATATAACAATCCTGTTTTAACATTTATATAAGAATTTAGGGATAACAAAAGATTCTATTTCTCGACATTCTCGCAGAATCCATTAAAAATATATTTACCACTTCATTATATAAAAATCCACGAGTAAAACTTCGGCCATCTCAATTATATTAGCTAAGTCCATTTAGATATAAATTAGAGGTAATGAAAAAACTTCCTAACGAGAGCGAAAGAGGTCCCATTCACGCACTAGCTATTCATTAAAGAATTTAGTAACATAAAACAAGCGATAGTTAACAACACTTTTCCAAACTGTTATGTCAGGTCAATCTAAGATGCGACAGGTATCACCTAACCCATTACTCCTGCCGCATGGTCGGGTCATTTGCGGCTAAACCGGTTCATCCTTCTGATTTAGAGGGTGGTTATATTATGTATACAGTATATACGTCATAGAGATCCAAATTAAATGGTTTCTTTCAAAGCTAAGCAATAATAACAGAGTTCACCCGAAAATAATATTAATATATGTTATCAAAAACAGATGCACAGACATTAGAAACAGGGCGTATTCACTTTAAGGATTATATAATATACATCAGTCCGATTGAACAAAATATAAATAACAAGTTAATTAAGTATTAATAAATATTAAGAACATCCAACCTTATCATCAGCAACAAGAACTCGCCCGCGAAATGAAAACTCTATCAGACTAACATTATTTATGAATTTAAATGTCCCATAGGGAATTGCGTTCTTAACGAAACCAAACTCGGAAATATTATGCCGGACACACTATTTCTTGGCTATTAAGACGGTTGACTCTATATCTCTCTGACGAGAGCTCTATACGGACGCATTTAAATCAGCATGGAATCGTTCCTATTTCCATACTCTAAATCCTTGCCGAGAACACAAATATGATGCGCACTTTTAACTGCATGAATAGTTTGCAAGTAATGGAAGCTCTTATTATAAAAAAACCCATAAAAAACAACCCTTTATAGCATCAATTATGAACACAGCTATAACATACTGACCATATCCAAGAATTAAGTATACTTTTCAGCAACTTTTAAACTGTCTAAAATATCATTTATTATAGTAGTATAAGTTTAATCCTTGAAAATGACGCGTTTCGTTCACTGATGGACTTTATCAAGGCAGATACATTAATCTTATTTTGCAACAAGTATTTATACACAGAAATAAATATGAGTTTTCAGATTTTTAAATTAAGAACGTTCATAAATATATTAAGACTAACTGAAACTCAAGGTATACTATGGAGGATGCTAAGTGATATAATTTAATGACGAAATAATTTGGATTTGAAAGAATGTGCACAACAAAATTTTAATTTTAATGTCAAACAATATTACAAAAACACCAAAAACACTTAACATGGAACAAAATTATTGGCCTCTTGCCTGAATAATCAACAATGTAACCTTTATTCTTGATTATTGAGTTTAATCATTTTTGATAGTTCCTTACAAGATCACTACACACACTGATATGTATTTAGTTCCCTTCTTCCATGGCAATAGCTTTTATTTCCTCGAAATTCAAAGGATTCTTTCTCTTAGTTTTTTTCTTCAAATATGCCCATAAATTTTCAGTTCAAGTCAGGACTTTATGAGGGGTACGCCAATACCTTAATTTTGCTGAAATGTATTTTGTAACAATTCTTGCCGTGTGTTTCAGGTCATTGTCATGGAATGTCCAGTGAGGCCCCAATGACACCTTTTGTGCACTTTGTTTTATATTATTTTTAAGAATAATCAAATATTGCTCTTTATTCATGATGTCCTCTACCCTCACTAGTTCTACTGGTGCAGAAGCAGCAAAACATCCCCCCCAGAGCCGAATGCGTCCACCACCGTGCTTAATTGTAGGGAGGCTATATTTTGTTTTGTGTGTTTCATTCATTTTCCTTCATACATAATAGGAATTCATGTGACCAAATAAATCTAGTTTGATTTCATCTGACCATAAGACAAAGTTCCACTATTTACCTCCATCTTCCATTTTAGATTTTTAGACTTAAGCAAGGGAGTTTTCCTTGATTGATAAGCTCTAAGTCCTGCTCGATAAAAGCATCTAGTGACTGTTTTCGTCGATTCATTCAACCCTGATGTCTTTACATCATTGACATTGTCCTTTGTCGTTAAGTGAGAATTCTTCGAGACATGTCTAACAATTTTCCTTTCCATTCTCTCAGAAATTAACCGTTTTCTGTCAGTCCTTAATTTATTCTCATACAATGAGTTTCGTTTTATTTCGTGCTAATGCTACTAATATTGATACAGAATCAGCTATTTATGGTAAATTCAGTAAGTACTTGCAAATATTCGCATTTCTGTCCACAATTATATATATATATATATATATATATATATATATATATATATATATATATATATATATAAGTAAAGGGTTGGTGTATACGCAATAAATTCCAATAACCAAAAAATACTATTTTTAAAAGAGTGCTCAATAGTATAGAAAATATAATTTATTGAAAATTATAACATAAATATAAATAAAATCACTACAAAAATAGTCATTTTGTTTCAACATTTCTGATGTTTTATCAAATGATGGTATTGAATATCATCACTTGATAAGACACCAGAAGTCTTGAAACAAAATGGCTATTTTTGTAGTGATTTTA